CTTGAAACGAGAGAAAAATTGTGAATTTAATTTCTAACAAAAATTTGATCGATTTATTACAGAAGCGTCGACGAACTATGGGCAGCGTGAAGAAAAGAGACTCATACTTACTGTCATACTTGTCTGATTTTAATGAGCTTAAAGAGGAAAATATTGTTCATTTGCTTGTTTGAATGCATTGGTCAATTTGATGAGCGAACAATCAACATTCGAAACCTTTGCCATACATTAAAAGTCTAACTTATATAAGATATCAAACATCTTTTGATTCAAATCGAACTTCAATATGTCATGATGAATTAACTCAAAAAAATTCGAACAGTAGATAATAGTGTTCGATGAAAACATCATCGGTTCGTCTGGAGCACTTTTCAACTTTCAATCCGAGTTAATATGATTCAAACTGATTTAACTCGAAGAAAGGTATTCGAGTGTCAATCATCGTTGTCACGCTGAACAAAGTGATTGTTATCGAAAAAAAAGACTGAATTAAATTCTCATTTGAATCGTCATTAGTCCAAATGTGATATTGTGTGTTCTCTTCTCAACTTGATTAGATCGGTTGTTCAAGTCGAATTGTCGCGGAATCAATTCTTCGATCATTATTAAACGACGAAGCTAATTTCTTGAAGTCGAAAAAAATGATTGTTTTATTGTTAAGTTAGAATTTAATAGACATGAATATTATTACTAATCTATTGCATAAGGTTTTTCGAACTATGTTCAATCATGTTTTCTTAGCAAACTTGGTTAGCAACTGTATTTTGTATTATGCCATTATTATGTATAGAACTAGCCTTTCATCAAGTAGTATCGATTTCTTAATATCATATATTGATTTACAGACCTTTCTCGGCTGTTAGAGTACGTTCATCTTGTTGTCATGTGTGGTATACGAATAACAGTAATTTACAGTGATTTAATTTTTTCGAAAATTGAATGAAAAATGATTATTGATACTAGTTTTAATTATTATATTTAAAAAAAGGTACTTCGTTTATTAAGTCATGTCACGAACAAGCTTAGTTTTGGTGATATTACTTTATTGATATTATTAGTTAAGAGAATCAGAAATTCATGATTAAATAGTTTTTAAGAGCGAAAATACGAATCAAGTATTGGAAAGTATTGACTGGCATCATTTTTGTTTTAGGTCGGTGCATCACAAATTTAGTAGTTGTTTTTCTGTGTGACATTTCGTTAAATACTTCACTGCTATTGCTGTTAGATTATATGCTACATCTCTTATTGATTCAACCATTATTTAATTTTTTGTTTCGTCATTATTATCATTTGAATTTCTAAATTTCATAATTTCTAGTACGAAAGTTTTGAAAATAACTGATGAACTATCAAAATTATGTCCGTAATTATGAAACTAATGAGAGTTGTGAAAATGTGTTATCAAGAATGAACATTCGAAAAAAAAAGTTCGTCATATAAGATCGTAAGCGCATAGTTCTATTGCTAACATATGAAACAAATGTTGATATATCTAGATATGAAATGGTTAAAACAACTCTATATATGATGTGTATTTGTATTGAAAGTCTTATCACATTGTTATATCAGAATGACATTTTTCATGATATATGGAACAATGTATTCATTTGATATGACAAATTTTGTACTCTTTCATATGTATACTTAATTATACACGTCTATTCGCTGCTCATGATCTTCTTAAATGCATTCCTGCCCGGGTTACCAATAAGGCTCACTGCAATATAAGTATTTCAAAAAAAACGAAGCCTGAAAAACAAGGAAAAGAGTTGAAATCAGATTTGTTTTCGAATATACTGATTAATAGAATGTTTTCATTAGAAAATGAAGAGAAAAATTTCGTTTTTTTTCTTTTCTATCAATTTCAAACCAAAAAAGAATCAAAAATATTAGAATAAATCCATGGGTATCTAACCACTTTTTGAGAAAAGATTTTTTTATTCGAATTTCTTGTGCTCGTTAGGTGTATGGTGGATAGAAAATAAATTTGCCTAAAAAAAATTTATGACTTCTATCTGAAAGACCAGAGATTCAGGTGGTTTTCTAGGAACATCTAAGAAGTAGAAGGATCACCGACATTATTACAATGTTTAAAGCTCATATTTTGCTCATAGGTAGGCGGTCACTAGACTAGCACAACCGCCAAATAATTCTTTTTTTCAATGTATTATAACCGAGATATAAGATTTTTGAGGAGCACGACTTTAACATAAGTTTGACCAGAACGCTTCTATCACAATAAATACGTAGAATGGGCTTTTCTTAAAAATCTTATGTCTCGGTCATAATACATTGAAAAAAAGAATCCTTTGGAACTTGCGCTAGTCTAATGGACGCATATCTCTGGGCAAAATATGAGCTTTAAACATTGTAATGATCTAGGTGACCGTTCTCCTCCTAAGATGTTCCTAGAAAACGATCTGAATCTTTGGGATTTCAGGTAGAAGCCATAAATTTTTTTCGGACAAATCTAATATCTAACCACTATACGTCTAATCAGCGCAAAAGAAACGATAAAAAAACTTTTCCTCAAAAAGTGGTTGGATACCCATGGATTTACCGATTATCTTTTTGTTGTTAATATGATAGACTTCATCCTCTAAATGTGCGGAATGTCTTTTTTCAATAACCGATTTCTACCTATAGATTTCAATCATAAGAATATACTTAGAAGCAAGTCACAAAACATTAAAAACCAGGCCTTCTTGAATAAGTGATATTTTGATTTCCTTTTTTATTGCACTGATAAAAAGTTTTAAAAAAATCAGCTGTTTTCTTCTACGTGAAAATTTGTAAGCATTTGGAACGAAATTTTGCCCCAAATATCATTTTTATCATATGGAAAAACTTCGTGAAATCACCGGTTTTTTACTGATCTCGAACTATTTTTAGACCGACCGGGCCGAATCGATCTAATATTTCCAGAAAAGTTACAACTCTGACCTAGATCAAAATCAATTTTTGAGAAAGGTTGAGGATGGCCTTAAGTGTCTCAATAGTTTTTGGTTTGATTGTAGTTTAACATGTTTTTGTATGTGTTTAACAGAACAGAATAAAAAAAATAAATGCCTATAGTTAATTTATGAAAGACAATAGGTCGTTTTATTGATTGATTAAGAATTTATTCATGGTTTTTTTCTATGAAGCTCATTTTTTCGTCGATCTCTGAGGAAGACGAAGGGTCAAAATTTCAGAGAAAAATGAAAATCATAGAAGCCATTTGAAATGTATACAATTTGACTCATCTTTTGTGATAATTTCAAATATCACTTTTATTTAAAATCAAACAAGGGTTCTTCTGCTCGAAGACCGTCGAATATTAGTCAAAAAATACGCTAATGGACTCAAAAGTACAATAGATAGAACAAAAGCACTTTAATAGACATCGAATTTCAAGCAGCCAACGATGTTGTCAGAAAGAGCACATGGAAGTACATATTTGGTAAAAATCTCACTGGTGTACTGGAAGAGACTATAACTTCATAAGACTTTAAAATCATTATTTTATACAAAATGACCAGATTGAGGCCGTATTCAGCATTTATCAATAGAAAAAAAAATTGAATGTCTAATAAGTTGGTATAGGTTTTGATAGAGAAAACAAATCTGCATCAAACGAACTTATTTTCGATGAGTTTAAAAAGGAATTTCATGGACTTTCAGGTAAAAAACGGGTGTTTGAGGTTTTCTGACATTGCTTCAGATCTTTTTTATTATCTGAGCACTTTTGAGAAAAAAGATATTTGCAATCAGCGTATCCACCGCTAACAAACTGTAAGGACTTGAAACAGAACGATAATTTAAATATTTTTTTTGATACCTCAGCAACTCCAGGTGTGAATAATAATCAGGGATCAATACGGATTCTTATGCTAATAAAAAAAAATCCAGATTCTTTGGGACGTTTCGTCCGTAATCTCACATACCTCTCTTAGGCTTGTTATTTAGTGGGACCTGGGTATAGGAGCTCTTGAATATGGGCCACAGGGAAAACAACAGAGAGTTTAATTATAAAGTCTTGAAGTTCGCTGTATCTTCCTCGCAAGCACATCTTTTTGACTTCCAATTCCTCCAGGACATGGAAAAACATATTTCAAAAGTGGCTAGAACTATAAAGTCGATTATGATGGCTACGAACATAGGAATTGCAAATCTCAGAAATCTAATGTTGAAGCACACGGTGATTTCTATCTATATCTGGTTTTTGGAGTCCAAACCGAGTTTGTTAATCTCCTATACCATAGATAGTCCCTAGAAAAGTTCTGAAAAAAAACATTCTATAGGTTCACATTTTAAAAGAATAGAATAAATATGCGAACTCCTATTTTCGGTGTTTTTAGTGCGCTGAACATTTTTGAACCCATATGAGACTGTAATAGTTAAAACTAATTTTTGACGCTCTATTCAAATATGCCATTGAATTGATCCAAAAAAGAAAAGATCGATAAGAAGTCCAAAACTATAAAATGAAACCAAAAGTACTCTATTTGAATGTGAGCAAGTGGACGTGAGTCTTCTCTTCACTCATATTGAAATTATTTCTAAAAGTAGCAAGATCTTTTTTCTATAGAACAATCAATCACGTTTTACTCTCTTCTGCATCTGTCGAGTAATACTCTTTTGAAAATATTATGCATTGTTTCATTTGTTTTTTGCCGTGACGAGAAACAAAAGTAATAGCTTTCAATATAAAATATGCAGGCTTCTACTTTAAAAAACAAAAATCATCAAGTGTTCTGTTTCAAAGTGTTGATTGCATGCGGTAGATGCTTCACAAAATAGTTGCAGCCATGAAAAGTTTGTTTGTGAATAGGCATCATATTTGTGTATTACAACATAAAAGTTCGTTCTTAATCTTGTGGAACATGAACCATTATTTTCAAATGATCGTCTTCGCACTCGTTATATTGCCAATATCTGTTCAATCGATTATTCTCATACCTCCACAAAACATTACAGTGACGTATAATATAAAATGCTATTCGAGCAGCACCTACATAATACGTGATGATTATCAACTATGTGCTTTTCGTGTCTATGATGGTGGTGAAATGTTGCATCAACCAGTGGAGTACATGGTACGTGATGGTATGTGGTATACTAATACATTTCGACAATTACTCAAGCGTTGCGATGGATTTCCAGCAACATCTGATGTTGGTATTGGCACATGTTCTCCGTTGCCGTATGAAACTTTTCAGAACATGACAATCTGTATTTGTGCAGAAAATCTTTGCAATATTGATATGACTACTTGCATGAGCTGGAATCGCAGAATTTCTTCACTTCAACCATTGACAACTCTTCTGAGCGATCTGTCAAATCCTGTAATATGTTCTGAAACAGAAAATGTGTTGTTGTTACCGAAACTATGTACGGAGCATCCGTTGATTAACATTTCAAATTGCATGAATTACATTAGGAGCAACAGTGTACTTTGCAGCATTAGTATAATAGACAGTGTGATCACTCAAGAAGCACTGATTGCCGATAATTACGAACGTATTTTAATTGAACAATACCATGAAGCACGTATGAGCGGATATACTCGTAGTGTTATTTTCACGGAGACTTCAGTGCTCTTTACACACATTACTCCTATGTCGGAGAGCGAGGTCTGTATCTGCAGCACAATTCCGTATTGCAATGCAAATAATGGAACATGTAAAGCAACGATAGCCAAAAGTAAAACTATAGTACCTATCACATCCACATCTGCAGCGCTGTCAGCATCATCATCAGACAGTAACTTAACTACCGGAATCATTACAATCTCGAACAATACTAATTATACCGATACAATTTCTTTTGTAAGCCCATCATCTTCAACAGCTGCAGCAATAGCATACAAAGAAATCTCTGTTACACAGGTTGACAATGGACAAAGTAGGCTAATGTTACATGTCATTTTCAGATCACTTGATTATTGTTTGTATTCAATCTAGCCCACGAACTAAGAAGAAGTAAAACAGGTCTTGGATTTGCAGTCATTGTTGGCATCAGTTTCTTGGCTTTGATCATCATTGTTAGCATCATCAGATTTCAAATATACCATCGTGATAGTCGTGGTAGTTATCAACTTGTACCTCATGATATATAAATTATTTCGTTTTGAAGCAGAACCTATTCGAATCTCGAAAAAAAGATATTTGCTTAACTTTTGTCCTCATATAAGATTTTCATGAAACTAATTTCAACCAGTAACGTCAATATCAAGATAACTTTTATTCGTCGTATGAAAATGTTCGATACGTTCCTTTTTCTGAATCTATACAAGAGACAAGCAGTGACTGTCAGAAAGCCCTATTTCATTGGACTTCACCTATTGGCAAGTGTATTCGACTAGTATGGGATTGCATGTGTGCACCAGCAAAAACAAGACCCACATCTACACCTTAATTTTTGGGTGTAGAGAAGTTTTTTTTTTAAGATCCATAAGGATTTTGCTTGC